CTGCTTTACCCCCTTTCATTCTATGTAATGCCTCATGCACCTCCTCACACACTCACATCCTGCTCTTCTTCACTCCTGAAAGATGTTATACCTCCATGGCCAGAGCGTGAAATTAGCGCCTCCCTTTCTTCATCGATATTTAAAAGTTCCTCAAAATATTCCCATCATCTACCCAATACCTCCAGCTCCTCATCTACTAACTCCCCTACTCTGTTTTTAACTGACAAATCCATTTGTTCCCCAGGCTTTCTTAACTTGTTTATCTCACTCCAAAAATTTTTCCTATTCTCAGTAAAATTTCTTGACAGTGCCTCTCCCACTCTATCATTTGCTCCCCTTTTGCACTCTCTCACCAGTCTCTTCACCTTTCTTTTACTCTCCATATATTCTGCCCTTCTTATATCACTTCTGCTTTGTAAAAACCTCTCATAAGCTACCTTTTTCTGTTTTATCACACCCTTTACTTCATCATTCCACCAATCATTCCTCTTTCTTCCTGCACCCACCCTCCTATAGCCACAGACTTCTGCCCCACATTTTAACACTGTATTTTTAAAACTATCCCATCCCTCTTCAACCCCCCCCCCATTACCCATACTTTCACCAGCTCACCTTTCTACCAATAGTTGCTTATATCTCACCCTAACTTCCTCCTCCCTTAGGTTATAAGCTTTCACCTCTCTCTTACTTTCTGTTGCTCTTTTCCTTTTGTCCCATCTACCTGTTACTCTAACTGTAGCTACAACTAAATAATAATCCGATATATCCGTTGTCCCTCTATAAACATGTACATCACAAAGCCTATCCATCAACCTTTCATCCAACAAGATAAAGATAAAGATTTATTTCTTTGGAAAGGTTACACTGTGCAATTACAATTTTGGTTTGCTAAGTACAAAGAAAGCCACTATCATGCTGGAGCATTTCAGGGAGACTAATCCTAGTACATAGCAACTATTTAAAACTAGACAAGATAATAGTGGTTGACTTTATTATAGTCTTATTTAATCTTAATACTAATGTGAGGTAGTTAAGGTGGAGGTTTATAAAAATAATAATCTTGAAGTTGCACATAATAAAAACAATATTACAATTAACCCCTTCAGGGTCCCAGGCCCAAATCTGAAGTGGTGCCCCAGTGTCCAAGAATTTTCAAAAAAAAAATTTGTTATTTTTTCTTATGAAATGGTAGAGAATCTTTTTGTGAAGGTAATAAAACAAAAAGTACGAAATTTGATGGAAAATTGACGAAATTATGCTCTCGCGAATTTTGATGTGTCAGTGATATTTACGAATTGGCGATTTTGCCGACTTTGACTCCCATTTTAGGCCAATTACATTATTCCAGTCAACCAAATTCTTAGCTATTTCACTAGTATTACTTCTATTCTATCGATTGAGCACAAGAAATCGCCCAAATCAACTGTTTCAAAACAAATTAAAGTGATCGGAAATTGTTAATTTGGCCAATTAAACACAAAGTTCAAATATTCAAATTTTAAAATAGGGTCCCGAATAAACAATGTAGGGAATTCCTGGAACTAAACTAACATTTCCTCTGTTCATTAGTTACGTTTTGAGGTTTTACAAATAAATTCCATTTTGATTTTTTATTCACATAATGAATTTTTATTCACACCAAAAATAGAAGATTTACTGTTATGCAATACTGTAATAATTGTATAAATTTCATCACCATATTTTTGAATGCATAATAGACCCACCAGCTGGCGTGTATTAGACGTGTGAGGTCGTTTGTTTACTCTTGAATATCGGCAAAAATTTAAAATTTCTGCTATTTTGAGCTCAGTTTCAAGCCATTTCCAGTGCGAAAACCAATCAAAATCATCTCTATTTCTGTAATATGTCTTCCATTCTATCAAATGAGACCAAGAAATCGCAAATAGAACTATAAAAAACATACGAAAAAACACTGCAAAGTCGCTGTTTTAATCGAAAAATCATGATTTCAGTTTTTTCTCTCGTTATACGCAGCGTGCTGCAGGATCTGTTTTATGTGGTGCACACATACCACACAGATGTATTCTCTCATATCTAGGCCCAAATGTACCACTCACAGTTTATCAGAGTGAGCTGAGCTCATAACGTAGATCTACGGTTTGGACCCTGAACGTAAAGCCGTAGATCTACTGGACGGACCCTCAAAGGGTTAATGGTTCAGGCAGTAATATTTCATGGATTGGCAGATGTTTAAAAGTCTAGAGGTCATATAATATAACCAATTAGAAGCTGTTTTGGTTCATTTGGTTAATACTGAGTGATAAGATGATTTTTGAGCAAAGTCCTAAATTTATAAGTAGTCAGGGGATCTTTTTCCGGTTCCGGTAGTGAGTACAGAGTTTTTGCATAGTGTGAGACTGACATGAGGGATGCTGAAGAGTGCCTTATGCCTTGTATTATGACTGTGTGTTCTGTTGTAACTATCAAGGAGAAGTTTAAGTGGAGGGTTTACAGTGAAATTTAATGTTCTGTATATGTAGTAGAGACAATAATATGAGTGCATGTCTTGTATATTTAGCAAGTTCAGGCTTTTAAAAAGTGGTGGGGTGTGTTGTCTAGCACACGAGCTGGTAATCATTCACACAGCAGCGTTTTGTTGGGTTATTAAAGGTTTAAGGTGGTTGGCTGTGGTTGATCCCCAGGCACAAATACCACAGGTGAGGAAAGTATATATTAAAGAGTGGTATAGGGCAAGGAGTATTGTTTGAGGTACATAATATCGTATCTGAAAAAAGAAGGCCTACTGATTTGGAAATTTTCTTGGATATATGTTGGATGTGGGAATGAAATTAAAGATTACAGTCAAAGAGAAGACCTAGAAATTTACTCTCAGTGTGTCTTGGTATAGGGGAACCATTTATCGATATATTAAAATGGATATTTGAGGCTCTGTTCCCAAAGAGCATGAAGTATGTTTTGTCTATGTTAAGAGTGAGTTTGTTGGTCATCATCCAAGTATATATTTTTAGCAGCTCGTTGTTTACAGTGTTTCTAAGTATAGCTGGGTTCGAATGGGAGTTGACATAAGCAGTGTCATCTGCAAATAAAACTGGTTTAAGGAGTTGGAATGCATTGGGGAGATCACTGATGTAGATGAGAAAGAGGAGTGGGCAACCAAAATTTCAATAGCATGCAAAAATCTTGATATTAAGTGCCAAATCAGCTAACATGCAAAATTTTTATGCTACCTGTTGTAGGTTTCCACAGCAGGTAGCACAGTGCTACATGCTGTGGAACTTTTTTCCCCACTAACTGAGGTTGGGTCTCTGGGTCAAGTGCTTGAGGACACACAGCTCCTTCCCTTTCCCACTACCACCAATGCCACCTACTGTTACTTCCTGGAAGTGTCACTGACCTTATGTACTCTGTATTTAGCAAATAATTTTGGATATTTTCATCACCCAATCTTATCTCTGGATATTAACCATGGCACCCAAGAGGGATATGAGTGATGCTGCAGGTGCCAAGAAGCATAGGCATCTATGATGGTAATGAAAAAAGTGAAGTGTGAATGAGGGAGAGTTCCCTCTCCTATGGCCTTAATGAAACATCAGTTTGTACAATTAAAAAGAATGAGGTAAATATACGAGTTTGTGTGATGAATAACTAACTGACTTACTAACAGACAGACTTGAGACTTGACAGATTTACTTGTGTTACTGACTTACTTGACTTACTGACTTATTTGGCTTGACTGACTTACAGACTGACTTACTGACTGACTTGACTGACTTACTTGACTGACTTATTGACTGATTTCACTTACTTGATTGACTTGACTGATTGACTGACTGATTCACTGACTTACTGATTGACTTGACTGACTTACTGACTTGAGTGACTGACATTACTGACTGACTTGACTGATTTGCTGATTTAAAGTTAGACTTTTCACTGAAGAGGACCCTGACAAATCTAGAAGCAGTGCTCCGAAACGATGTCTAGAGCAGCTGATACCTTACCGTCAGCTGCATAATGTACTGCAGGGTAAAACAGCCCAGAAATCCATTACGAAATTTATGCACACTCAGTACAACCATTGACTTCAGTACCAGAACCTCTACCATCCACCTCAGCCCAGTAAGGCCACAGCATAGCTCTCCACTCTTCAAAATCATCGACAAACACCAGCACCCACAATTTAAGGTAAGAAATACTATGATTTTTGATGCATTTGTAGTCTTAAGCAGTAAAAACAACATAATACATCATGACAATGAACAACAATTACATATTCACATTTATTTTTGTAAGATCTGGAAGTCTAAAAAAAAAAAAAGTTGTTTGGCTATTTTGAGGCTCCCAGGTACTTGCTCTATTTTTCCCATAAGTTCTTCAGTTTATCTAACAGATTTACCTAACATAGCACTTTCAGGAACATTACTACCGTGTAATACAAGGGTCTATTGTACTACAAGGGAATAATGAAGAACCAACTGCAGAAGAATTGCCAGAAGAGTTCAGTTCCCAGTAAAGACAGAAGCAGATAACAGAAGAGGGTGAGGAAGAACCTGAAGATAAACAGTACAGTAAACACTTCAGAAGTTATGTGAGAAATTGCACATTACTGGTAAAACTGCAGGCCTTTTCACTGAAAAGAACCCCAACACATCAGGAAGCACTGCTTTGTAGCAGGGGTCTGGAGAACTAATAACCTCATCAGCTTTATAAAGTCCTGCAAGGCACAATAGACAAGAGAAGCATTACAGACCACAAAAGTACTCTAGTACTAATATCAACTACTAATAACTCAGCATCCACAATAACACAAGAACCACAGCCATCCACCTCACCTGAGTAGAGCCAAATCTCCTCCACACTCTTCTAGCTATGGCTGGGATTAAATAACTCTAGGCATCTATTTTCCTGGACAGTTTATATTCTCCCAAACATGGTAGAAATTGGTAATAGAAATATTTCCTAAATCTAAATGAGTCAAAAGTTTTCAAGCCAGTACATAATATATCCTAATACATTACTTTGCATGTTAGCTCCTGTACTAGGTAACTACAGCGCTCTTCCTTCATCCGTGCCTCCAAGTTATGAGCTTGAACCCAGGGAATGCCTACTGCTAGATCTGTAAAAAGGTAATATATTTCAATATACATTCATTACATTCATCATGGGAAGCATAACATATGCAAGAACTCAACAATGTTTGCAAAGAAAATATTTTCCCATAACTATAATATTAAGTTAACTTGAGCCATAGTCAATGTATCTTTGGAAGCCATTACTTTCAATAACTTAAATGATCAAGATGAGATGTTGAATGCTAAGGCTGTGATTGACACAGACCATCTCACAGAATATCCAGTTATAAAAAAGCTAATTTATCACATATAACAAAATTCAAATGTACTATAAGCACTAGTAAAAGAATATAATAGTGCCTTTTATTTTTCTTGACTAATAAAAGTTGATTATTTTAAAGCATTGAGCTCAGCACTTGAGTTGGGCCTCCATAAAATTTTGAATTTTTTTCTTGTCCAAGGTTTCTTTTACATTAAATATAGATTCAGTGATTATTCAGCATCTCAAAATAATTTGAAATTAGAACTTATCAGCTGATATTAGTTGCTAGATTTACTACCAAAAAAAATATTTCTATACTTCCTATTATTTTTCTCCTTTTCAACTTCATTACTCATCTCAAAGATTACACACATGATAATTAAACTGGTTCTGTCTCACACATACCGCACATTATGCATGAATTAAAAAAAATGTTGTACAGGGTTCAGTAGGACATGAGCGTTTGGCCTTCCTCCTTTAAAGTCAAAGTCAAAAATTTATTTCAAAAGGAATACCCACTTTGAGACAAATCTCTGTTGACTGAAGATCAGGAATACACATCTCACCAACAGCCGCTTGTTTGCAGGTACACCTGCCCTCCTCCTCTGCATAGCTTGTGGTATTTAGCCGACTGCAGAGCACATTAACTTTTTGTGCATGCCTTAGTTCTTTTCATTTTCATCATGTCCAGTGTCTCAGGAATTTAAGAATCATAACTCCGTAAGGGTTACTACAGTATTAACATTTGACTGAACTTGTCTAACTGATGCAATACATTTTTTATTATATAGACATAAGAGTTCGTGAAAGGAAAATTTTAAACCTAATTGGGAGGAACCCAAAATAAAAAAAACTGGACAAAACAAAGTACAAATAATATTCTTTTTTTAACACGCTGGCTGTCTCCCACTGAGGCAGGGTGACCCAAAAAAGAAACATTTTCACCATCATTCTTACTATCACTGTCTTGCCAGAGGCACAAAGTCACAATATTTCAGATGTCCCTCCAAACAGCAAATATCCCAAACCCCACCTTCAGAGTGTAGGAACTGTACTTCCCACCTCCAGGACTCAAGTCCAGCTAGTTTACCTGAATTCCTTCACAAAATATTACCTTGCTCACATTCCAACAGCTTGTTAGGTTCCGAAAATCGTTTGTCAACACTCCTATCAGGAAAACCAGTTAGCTAGACTTTAATTATGGAGAGGGAAAGTAGTGAGTAAACTGTGCAGGATGGCTGGGAATGTTGTGATTCCAAAGGTGGGAAGTACAGTTACAGCTGTCATTACTGTTGTCATTGCTGTTACTGTTGTACTTGCTACTGTTTTCATCAATACTGTTGTTCCTGTAGTTGTTACTGCTACTGTTGATACTGCTTTTGTTAGTCATTAGCATTACTGTAGTTGTTGCTATTGCTATTCCTATTGTTGGTTTTGAGAGTCACCAAAGCATATGCTTTACTGAGCCATGCCTCCTGGAAGTCTGGCTTGAGGAATGGAGGCATTCAAGTTCAATCCAAGGAAGGAGAGGATAAGTCCCATTCCCTGGATCAAGAGCCCCCTCACTGACATCCAGGCACCTTCCCTAAGAAGTCAGGGCTTCCCCAAGTCTTAGAAATCTGCAGAATGGGGAAAAAAAAAAGCTGGTGAATGGCAGCCCAGATCAATTGCCCAATATATGATGAGGACAAACGTCCAGGAGGGAGAACTGGAAAATTTGTCACCAATGCTCAGAACTGGATAGTGTGAAATGTCTCCACTCTACCAACACCAGCATTGATGCCCCAGAGGTACAGAGTAAGATAAGATTTGTTCAGGTTTTTAGCCAGGAGGGTTACCCACCCAGGATAAATCAAGAAAGTCAGTGCATCATCATGGACTGTCTGTCTTTTCTTCATTGAGGGCCTTCAATCTTGTCACCCAGGATGCAACCCACACCAGTTGACTAACACCCAGGTACCTACTTCCTGCTAGGTGTACGTGGACAACAGGTGTAAGAAAACATGTCCAATGTGTCCCGTAGCTTGATTGCAAATGCACTCAGCTCACACACTGAGATCCATGTTTTTTCCCTTGTACAGGTGGATACACCAGGACATGTTTCCTAAAGACATCTACTGTCCCTGTTAACCCATCAGTGTGTTAGTCAACTGCATGTTATTCAACTGATGTGGGTCATGTCCTGGGAACAAAATTGACCCAATTTGCCCAAAATGCTCTGCATAACAAGGGTATTTCTATATAGTACTATGCCACTGATGTCAGCTAAGCCTGTATACAATGTATATGTACTTGTAGAAATAAAGATCTTTTTTTCATTAACGAACCAGCTGTATCCCATGGACACAGTGTGTGAGGCGAGAGCATTGCCTACCAAGCCATGGGACACAAGTAGTTTATTTAGGTACAGGTACACATGAGTACAATTATCATACCTAGTAGCATATGTGTAAATTATGTAGGATAACCCAAAAAGGTCAGACAAAGTGAGCCTGCACTCAGAAAAAAAAAGGCAAGGACATGGTACAGAGGATCAATTTAACTGTCCTGTTTGCACACATTTGGCAAGATAGCTGTTGAATGAGTGACAGTGATGTGTTTCTGTGTTTAGGTCACTATCTTGGTGGGAGGTAGCCAATGTGGTAAAGATAAAGTATTTATGCAATGCATTAAACCTGTGAGGACAGCTCAGTGCAAGGACTGTAGGAGGTTCAAGCTTGTGTCCTGTCACTGTAAGACATATATGCTCCAGAATACCCCAATATACAGTATAAATACTATAATATCTTTTATCTGTAGTATACTGTATTCATACTGTATAATGACGGACCCCATAATAGATGTATACTATTTACCAAAGTACTGTAATTTTAATAACATGAAATATTAGTTTTGTTACAAGAAATGGAGTCCATCTCTAGTACAAATTATGAGTACCCATAGTCTTGGAGAAGTAGATAAAAAGGCTTCAAGGAAAAATACTTCAATTTCTCCCTGAGACCATCTGAATATGCCACTTCTCCTACCACCCCATATTTTATAAATGAACAAACAGGTATCTTCTTATATTTAAAGAGTAACATGTCAGAGTAATATGTAATTAAAAATGTCAACTCACCTACAAGCATGAGAATTGCCTGCCAGACTGAGTGAAGAGAGTGAGAGAGTGAGAACAATGGGGAGGACAGTCTGTTCTTGGCAGTGACAACAATAAGGGAGAGGGCAAGAGCTATATCATCTAACAGAGAGTTATGTGCTTTCTCGCTGCCCTTCTGAAGCCATCCAGACACTTGCCATCGATGAGTCTGACCTGGGAAGTGTAGTGACTCTACCTCAAACTCTCTGTTAAAGAAAGATGTTATAATTACTTCATATTTGATTAGAAAAATCACTCACTCTGGTATTTCATTATACTGATTTCTGGCCAAGATGACAGACTACATTACATATTCTTTTACCCCTTAAGTACTTCACTCTTTGTACAAGTTAATTATACACAATTTTATAGTAATTTAAGAAATATACATTTATATTATGAAATGTATTAGTTCTGTGTGTGCATTACTAGGCCTAACTGGAGTCGAGTATTAATATTCGTTGCCCTACAATGATTTCATCATTGTTTGCTAATCTTGTCTTCAAACTTTCAGTAGCTTCCATATGATAAAATACATAACATGTTTCAAAACTTACGTCATATGGCAGACTGCTCAGGACAGATTTTATATGACATAAAATAAAGACACGTTCTTTCAACTATCTCACATAATAACCACAAATCCCAAATATACACACTCACACGCATACTTAACTATCTTTGCTAGTATACTACCACTACCCAAATTCTTGCAAACTGGCTTTGACAGCTCTAATAAAGTACTAAACCTACAGTACAGTATATCTAAAAAGTTTGGAAGATATTAATTTAACTTTCATGCATGATGAAACTGTACAGCAAAATACGACATTAAAATCAACATATATAAAACATTCCTCAAGTCATACAGTACGTACTTTGAAATTTTAATGCTATATTCTGTATCTTAATACTACTGTATTTTAATGAATTACAGTATGTTTTATGTTTTGTTATGGAAGAATAGCAGAATACAGAACATATAGCAGAGGTCATGGAGATGCAGTTACGAAGTTTGAGGTGGTCAGTCCCCTCAGCCTTGGTGTATGCTCAGCTCCATACCTTCGATGAATTCATCAAGGCTATGAAGCTATGAACACACATCAAAGCTGGGGAACTGACTGCCTCAAACTTACTTCCCCAGGCGGAACAACTGATCACCTCATATTTACATCTCCACAAAAAGAATGGAAGTTAGCATATCTGCAGGTGTGAAAACAAGCTCAGATATTTAAGTACAGCAGTTAGGTACAGTATGGCATACATACACTGTAAAGAAGAAATGCACGAGCCATAAACTGAGTTCTCCCCCCTCCCTAGAGTGAAACAAACATATTACCATTGTCAAACTGACATTAAATATGAATAAATAACCATCATAAAATTATGACAGGCCTTACTGTAGCTCTAAATCGTGTTTTGTAGAACTACTGCCGTCCTGGGTGCCAGGCAACATTCTTTTGCATGATCATATATTATTGTCACTACACTGATATTTCACTCAACTATGAAAGTATTACAATGTGAGGGAATGGGAGATTGTATGAAACCATGATCTACCAAGTTCACAGGTATGAGAAACAAATATTAACCCTTAAACTTTCCAAACGTAGATCTATGTTCACTGTGCAGCGCTCCGAATGTTTTGAAAAATATTTTTTTTTTAAATTGAAGAGCGCATTTTTATAAATGTTATAGGATAAAAAAAATTTAGGGCCAGTACTTACCAAGATAAAAGCCCGCGAAGTTGGTGCTAAATGATGAGGTGTTGGCAACATGGAGCACTGCCGCTTGCAGAAATAATAAACATTTATCGCTTTTTTCCCAATTCTTTTCTATTTTTTGTTGTTTTCATGTTATGATAATAATGTTTTGTTGCAGATCTTTTGATTTCATAGTCAATTCTTGTTGTTTGGTACTAAATTAGTAATCATACTGTCACAAACACACATGTTCACACTGATAAATGAATTTGTACACCTAGTTCAATCACATACTATTGTTTACATATATATATACAAGGTATTTACAAGTCCCATATATGTTTCTAAAAGTCCACCACTGTATGATACTCCAAGAAGCATGGTGTGGAAAATTGCATTTACTTGGATGTATAATTATATACATAACAGTAAATGAACAATGATGACTATTATTAATCAGTTAGACAAGTAGGAATTTGGGACACCTAGGTCGCAAAAAATGTCCCCCTTCGATACCTACCACTGTCATATCCACAAGTTGCTCTGGACCTATTAATTAAATGAAATATACATACACCAGGAATGCTGGTAAATATATAAATTTGTGGACTGTATTTTAAAAATAATAAATGGTTATATATATAAATATTATATTAAAATATATATATATATATTATATATATATATATATATATATATATATATATATACAATTATACAACAAAGGAAAATATATTTAATATCACTCACCAATTTGACTGGAGATTAATGTGTATCATACTCAGAAAACCTCTAACTAAATCTATGAAAATAATGCTGGCCAGAATTATACACAAATATAGAGAGCTTATCTGAGGTTCCTGGAGCTGTCTTGTCCAGTCGTCTGATATCTCAAGTTATGCAGGAATGCATATCCACCAATTTCGCCTCCTATTTGAGAGGTGTCAGCACAATTTTAACCTCTAGAGCACGAAAAATTCTTCCCCATTCACCAACGTTTCTAATACAAAATCAAAACCAAGATGGCGAGTCTCCTGCCCAGACGCAGGCTTTCCGTTTTCTATGACAAATATTATTAAATACAGTATAGGCCATCTATTTACCTATAAATTACCGTATTTCCGGAAAATATATACAGTATTTTCCACACATGGATTCATACAGAGTGCCACCCCCACACTGCTGACACGTGTATCGTGTGTCTTTTCGCACTTGGGGTCGTTGTTTAGTGTAAGCACACACAACACACTTTTTCTGGGAATATACTTCTTTGGAGTAGATGGTAGTGGTATTAGGCAGTGATAGTTAGGGATTATTTGGTTAGGCACTTCCCCCTCTAGTTGTGGGGTGACAGGTCGCTGTTGTGGGGTGACAGGTCGCTGTGGAGTGGCAGGTATAGGTGTGGTACCATGCTTTTTTGCTATCTGCTTGATGACATTGAGGGTGAATTCCGTATATCATTGTCGCTTCCCAGTCTTTATTTCGTACATGTTGAAAGCATTGAACATTGCAATGTCTACAAGGTGGAAAAACACTTTGATATACCACTTGTGACTTGTGATGGCAGCTGACTTTACAATAGGTTCATTGTTGAACCTGCTCAGTCTGTCTTGTTTGTACCATCTCGTTTCTGTGGATGGTTGACAGCAACGTCACGTCCCATTTGTCATGCCACGTCAATTTCATGATGTCATTGGCATGAAATGCTTCCACTAGACTTGCTCCAGTGAACCTTGGCATGTGTTGTCTATTTCTTCTCACTGTTCCATACATATCAGTATTGTTCACACACACAGGAAATCAGCAAGCATAGGGCTTGTATACCAGTTGTCTGTGGACAATGTATGACCCTTGTCAAGGTATGGTTCCATCATCTTGCGAACAACATCACCAGAAATGCCCAACATGTGCCTGGTATCGTCGAGTGGGTTTTTCCCTGTGTAGATAATGCCATCTAACACAAGACCTGTCTCACAGTCACACATAACAAAGAGTTTTATACCAAAGCAATTACGTTTGCTTGGTATACATTGTTTGAATGACAGTCGTCCCTTAAACAGAACCAAGGACTCGTCAACAGCAATGTTCTTGAATGGATAAAAGTAGGCACTGAATTTTTGCTTCAGATACATAAACAATTCCCGGATTTTGTATAAGAGGTCATTTCGGTTTAATGTATTCCTGTCTGAAAAGTGCAACATTCATAGCAACAGAGTGAATCTGTTGCAGGGAAGGTCACAGAAGACTGGAGTACTGATGAAGTGGTCTGTGGACCAGTAGTGTACTATATTGTTCTTATATGTGTGTGACATAAGCATGACAGTGCCAAGGAATAAATACATTTGAGCCACAGTTGTATCTTTCCACCTGCACAGCTGTGAAGATTCTGAAACATCTGTGTGGTCCATTGTATACCGGTAGTACATGTTGATCTGGGTAAAAATTAGGTTCATTATCAGCTCATTAAAGTATAGCTGAAAATAGTCTAACTCTGTAGACTCATTTGTGATGGGACGTGTGGCATGATGCCACTTCCACTGCCATCAAGATTGAAAGGATGTGGCACAAATGGTGTACTTTCTGTCCAGTTCCATTCGCAGTCACATGCTGCAAGTTGGACCTGTGGCATGGGGTGTGGGGGAGCAGGAGGGGGGTACAGGAGTGGAGGCAGCACATGGTTGAGAGGGTGCCGGGTAGTCCTCTGTCTGCCCACCCACCACGCCACGAGGTCCAGGCACCATGCCACCTCCCTCTTCCTCCAACCCAACATAACACTCCTTCATGATCACTATCACTATCAGTGGCTGGGGTTTCGGATCATGACCTCATACGACCCTCGTCGACTGCATATGGCACACTGCCTGAACATAGGTTACGACGCCTAAAAGTGCATGTCACTGGGGAATAATGATTATCACTTTCACTCGATGAATCGTCTATGGGCATAAAATCAATTTCATCATCGTCACTTTTGCTATCGTCATCACCAAAACGTGTTGAAGATGATACTTTCCTCTTGAGGAGTTGCCTTTGGGAAGTAACATTAGCAACCCCAAAGGTGCTGGGCTGAGGGTCTGTTGTGGCCACATTAGCCACACTGACCACAGTGGCCACTTCAGAAGTGCTGGGCTGAGGGTCTGGTATGGCCACACTGTCCACCCCAGAGGTCATGGGCTGAGGGTCATCTGAGTTATCATCAAAAATTTCACCAATTCCTTGATCATTAGTGGCCATATCGGTGTCAAAACCACTAAACTCGCGTTTTGTATCACTTTCTGAGAATAGTAGAGTGTTAATACCGACGAGGCGTGAGTGAATCACGGGAGTTTGCCATGATGTTGACCCAAGATGGAGCTGAAACTAACTGGTGTTTACACGCGGTACCCTGGCATCCCAGATTTTTTCCATAGTATGCACACTGAGTGCACAGACCCATTCTCTCATGTCTAGGCAACTCAGGCCTATTGCACCAATTTTGAAGGAACGAAAAATAAAACGTTGAT